TAACCAGTCTAGCTAGGATGGGGCACCGGAGAGGCAGACAGGCTGGACTCTCCTGGACAGTAACCTGCAGTCCGGTTTTAACAAAGTGAAGCTGTGATACCCATTTACAGTGAGTATCCCTTTGGAGGAAGTACTGCTCTCTAGATGTTTTAATTGCAGAATATTCTTCTGGGTCTTCAGCACAAGAAAATTCTAGTGAGTTCATCATTCATAATCATGTTTATCTCTTGTCTGTCACTCGCTATTTTAACAAAAGGGGCAGATGTCTTCTCCAAAAAAAGACTGTTTTTCTTTAGGCAGGCCAAGGGACAGTTATTTTTCTGAAATTTAGTTCAGTGCTTGGCTCAATGACATACTTCGATTTATGTTGGAGACTGACCCCTGAATTCAGTCCGAACAAAGCAGTTTGACATGAATACTCTTGAAATGTTTTCTTCCACTTTCTGTAACAGTGAACTTAATAGTTTTAACAGTAATATGGGCCTATTCTTGACGTTTAAGAAAAACCTTAGCTCCAGTTTAACTCTCATGTTTATACAAACAAATTCCAACTTGAAGAAATGGCAGAAGGAATACTTTGGCAAAAAACATCTGAGAAAAAGAGGTGCTCTAACTTCCTTCTGATCTCACATATTTCATAACCAGTTTTGCATCTTCTTACCATTGCAGCAATTTAGAAGATCCAACATAAATATAAACTTTGCTATATGAGTAATACTAAAGTTTCTTTTTAAAACTATCAGTTAACAATTTCCTGAGCATAATAATTTCATGTTCCACTAAAATACACCACGCCATGCCATACTACTTACTGTTGAACAAGGTGCTCCAGTGAACTGAGTCTTACACTGTAATATGAACCACTGCTAGGTGTAGTTTGATTTTTTAAAATTTTAAACCAAAAAGTGCACTCCTAAGTAGCCACAGTAATCTTTCTCTAACTGTAACTTGTTATTTCTCTACACTTTTCAACAATTTGCAGTGATTGAAAAAGAAGCCAAATCGCCTTCATTGCCTCGAAGGAGGTCCTCCTTGGTTAGAAGATGGTCAAACAGTTCTGATTTTAGAGAACACGGGAGAATACCAAAAAATCCTACTATCACCAGTCTCATTCCTGTTCCCATTACCAAACACCACTCAGTGAGTTCTAAAGCAGTAGGCTACTAACAGTGCTGGCAGAGGGGGGCTCTGCTGCAAAGGCAGGTGATGCCCTGCCCATTGAACCCTCTGAAAGCACTCTGAGCACTGACAGCTAGGGTACTCCTGGGCACTGCACTGTCTTTTGTTTCAAAACAGTGAGGTTTTGCTCAGTTGAAAGGCACTTAGAGCCTCAGTCTCCTAACGATTACTATTCCACTCTACAGTTGACAGACTGAGCTAATGATTTCATATTTTCTGCCCAGCGTAAGAATTACGGAAGAAGCACAAAGGGAACGGTAACATGGGCCTCGTCTCAGAGAATATAATGCTGTCAAAGTATTTCTAACTGAAAATTGTGTGATGCTCTCAGTTACAATGTAGAATGTAATTCTTTTGTATAATGTAGAGATGCTCACAAAGTAACATTAGTTTAAACAGATATTTGTATTAATTCTGCAGCCATTATTATAAAAGAATCTTTAAAGCAGGTAGATGTTACTAGACTTAAAATTAAGAACAAGTAAAAGTGTCTTCCTTTTTTTTAGGCTGTTTTTGTAACATTAAAAAAGCTGAAAGTATTCTGCGGATCTACCATAGAAGTTCTTCTAGAATTAGCTATAGACTTTTTTTTCCTTTTACCAGTCACATGTATTTGCATCCTGGTAGGACAAAATCTTAAATACAAGCGCCATAGGCTATTTGTGGACTTAGAAGACATTTGTGTGCATAAATGTGCACAGGATCTGACTCTTGTCTACCGTCAAACTGCACAAAGCAACAAGGTCACATCAAGAATTTGAAACCCCCCGATGATTTACCTTTAGGAGCTGAACTACAAATCAGAAAATAAACACAAGGATTTGGAGAAAAGAACAGGACCCTAATGCTTGCATTGCGAACCTGTGCCGAGTTCTGTTCTCATGCAGGACCAAACTCCCTGGAAGAGGTGTTCCAGTACAGAAACAACGGCAGACGCTCCTCTGCAGCGCCACCACAATGGCGCACACATCCCGCTCTGCTGCCTAGCTGAACGTAACGCTGTGGACTGGAGGTTGCCATTATCTCACTTAAAAACCTCAGACAGCTAACTGGTTTATCAAAGTACCCCCCAAACTACTGTGGTTCATTCTTCTTTGCCCCTCTAATAAAAAAAAAAAGGAAAGCAAGTATAAATAGGAGTATGAACGCAGAGTAATGCATCATTTATAAATTATCTTGTTAGTGCAGAAAACAAAACATGGCTTTGAAAACAAAATCTCCTGCTGTGGACCCCACTATGTTTGATGGGAGCCCTTCAAAAGAGTTCATGGCTTAATGGAGGCTGTTTATGTGGGGACTTCGATCTGTACCTGCTGTCCCCTGTCACTCCCTGGAAACTTGGCGGCAGATGTTGCAGCGTTAAGTTGTCTCTGAAGTGGCTCTCTGTCCTCATCTCCCCACCACAACAGAGTCAAACTATATTAGATCTCTTTATTTGTGCCTGAGGCATGTTTGGGAGCGCAGCTGTGTCCACCCCCACTCTACCTTTAGTGTTTCAGCCCCCAGGCAGCAAATGTGAGACCGAAACTGTTCTGCCACTCTTAACTATATCTGCTGACAATCCTGCAGCCTCGCTGCAGGCTGCCGAGGACCTGTGCCGCCGCTCTAAACAGATGTCGGCGACAACCTGCTAGCTCACACCTGTACAAGCTTCCCTAACCTCACGGATTGCTAACTGAAAAATTTATGACTCAAAGGACTTCCATCCACAATCAAAGCTTCTTGGTTCAACTGCGTGCAGCCCTCAAACTGGGCCACCCTCGGCATCATCTGGCAACATGGCAGAGGTGGGAGAGGCGAGAGAGAAGGAAGAAAAAGCTCACTCTGCTTTGATACCTCATGCCTAAATTTCAGTTACTTGATCAAGGACTTGAATTCAGCAGTGAATTCTTCTACAAATGGGAACTACGAAAGAAGACAAAACAAAACAACTATGTGGCTGCTGTTTACCATAACAGTGCTTCCAAAGTAAGTATGCCTATGCCTGTCTCGCTGTACATGCACAGGACTGCTCATCCCTTCACTGCCTTAAACCCATCGGGGTACAGCATGGGATCTCCACCTAGCAAATTAAGAACAAGTAAAAAGATTTCACTTTTCTTCCCCAAGATAAAAAATAGCACACCAGAAGGAAATTGCACTCCTACAGTGTCACAGGCCACACCTTAACAACCACTGGTTTAGACTTTACTCATCACTAAAAATTCTACTCCTTTTCTCGGTGGAGATACTGAAGATCAGTGAGCTACTTCTCTGTTTTTCATAAACCAAGATGTTGGTCAGTGTCTTCCCGTCAAGTCCAGAGAAGGTGGATGCCTGATTTCACAATGGCTCAGCAAAGCCTTCCCTGGAAGGCAATTTTTCCAGTAACTACCTGTCTTTATGGTCAGAAATCCTCAAAACAGGGCCTGACTAACAATTTTTTAGCTTCCTCAGCCACCATTTATTCTACATTCCTATTTACGTTGAATTTCCCTGTTAAACTGTATTGTATTGTATATTTTGTATGTAGATTTGTTATTGTCAGTTCCTCTACAGGTAACATGCATCATTCATGCAACCACTAAACAACTTGCCAACATAACATCTAGAATGATAACACTAGTGTTTGACTACACTCCCTATTTCAAGCATTGCATTTTGTCAGTCTGCTTCTTCCAACACTTGTCCTTGCCTTAATTAAATCTCACCTTTTCCTCCTTTAGAACAGTACCAAACTTTATTCCAGGAAAATAATCTAAATACCGATTACCTCTCATTCTCTCAAAGGTAACTCCCTCCCTTTAATCCCTCTAATTCTGTTACATCATCTTTATGGTGTATGTTGCAGAACTGCTGTTCTCGCACACTACTGCTTTGTGGTATGAGCGAATCTGATCTGTCATGCCCATCTGGGGCCAGCTTGTTGAGAAAAAGTTGCTGTCTCATTTAGAGGAAATCATTTGCTCCAATGTCTCTTCCAGTGTGCCACAGACAGGAAGCTGAATGGTCCCAGTAGATTTTAAATACCTTGATGATAAATGAGTTCCTGAGATAAATGCTAAGATTTAAAGTAGTACTTTCTTAAGGAACGCAATCACAAATACACAATCTAGCTTCGCCATAAAAGGCTCATATAACAACTCTAATGCTCAGTCATAGCAATCTTGCTAGTGGAGGCCACTTTTTCATGGGTCGTGAATGTACTAGAAGAAAGGATTGTCTGAGGAACAAGTTTCCCCACCTGTTTTTTTTCTGTGAAAATTGCCTTTGGCGTGGAAGTGCAAGGCTATGCAAAGCATCTTGCACAAAAGTTATTGGTGGTCACTTAATTTGGATGTGGTTTTAGTATTCTGATTGCCAGACTACTCTTACAAATAGCTGGCTGTAAGAAAGATTTGTGTATTTGTTACAGAGGGTTTACACTGAATAAAGTGTGTGCTATGTTATTGTTTTCCAGCTGAACACACAGAAAATATGGAATCCTTCACTCTGCTTTCAGGAGATCCATGCAACATTCCTGGGGTGGTGGGATGCATCTTTCAATGCACTTTGTTTCCCCAACGCATCATTTTTCCTGTTGTGCCATTCTTTTGACAGCAGTGCTTTCTTTAGTTAAGGTTATAGAATCGCCAGTGTTCAGCAACTGCCAAAGCCTGGCTGTAACATGCCCCTCTTTTGCCGACCATAGCGGATACACGCGCCACAGACAAACCTCATCTCCTTGCTGTGGTCGCATCAAAGAGACTCTGTCATACTGTCTTCGTAACAGCGCCCACAGTGCATCGAGTCGACCCTGTGGCAACAGAGCAACAGGACTTTCAGTGCAATCAAGTCAGTCAACAGAGAACACACCACACCTGCTAAGTTACTGCCCCGGGGAGATCCACGGAGAAATGTACTGGCAGAACCGAGCACCAGTTCATGAGAGCCGGATAAACAAAGCATAAACTTGGGCTGTCACCCACACCCCACAGCTGCGGTGCTGCTCTTCCCCACCAGTGAATCCCAGGCACTGCACTCTCGCCTCCACTGAGAGCAGAGTGCCTGTGACCTAACCCACGTTTACTGCTGAGCGTTCTAGAAGGACCATGTTTATTTGCCAGTATTTTGGGCTGAATTGCCACATGTCCATCTGGGATTTCTCTCACATAAATGCACTTGTTTTCACAGTGTGTATACAGCAAGCTCATCGATCTCGGGAGGCCTCGGACCTGCTGGGCACGTGCTGCCTGGCCGGTGCGTGCTGCGCGGTAAGTCGCGCGTGTCGTGAATGCGGCGGGTTCACTGCGAGAGCTCGGGCTGCTTGTGCAGAACAGGCGCCGCAGCTCCGGTGCTTGTCAGAAGCATCCCGCGCCGCAGGGATGGGCTGCAGAGTTTGTGTGTCTTTGGGGGCAACATGTCTCCGGGACTTTCTGGTGGTCAGAAAGGACTTAAAAGGAGCTGTGAAGACAGAACAGATGTATCCATACTCCCAGCTAAACCTGCTTGTTCGCTACTTTTACACATTTAAAGCAGGGTATTTATGGACCTATATTCAATTTTTAAGAAGAGCTTGTTACAGGTTTGCAAGTGACTCATGGCATCTACAGAGAAAAATGTCTTTGTTTTATGCCATTTATCATGTTTCACTTGTTTGCCAGACTTTCTGCATTATATTGTTTTATGTATTTTTGCTTTTCTTGGTTGGTAATGAGTATGTATGTTTAAAAGTTAGTATAACAGCTACAAATTGTGTAGTTTTAGGCTTAATTAGATATACGTTAAGATAGACCAAATGCCAGTAAAGCCCCCGTAGATTTTAATACTCTTTCTGTACGATATGTCCCTTTTTTGGGGAAGGAAAACAGAATGTGGCAGTAATGATGAAGTACTGCACTTGGGTGTAAAAACTGCTCCTGCTACTCATCCTGAGTAGGTGTTCACTTTGAGAATAGTATGTTACACTCGAATGAGAACACTTGAAAAATAATGTACAGTTCGGCACGCATAAAACTGGTAAGGCAGATAAAAACCCAGCCCTTAGGACAAAATTATGTTGTGCCAAAGACTAAGAAGATTACCTTGATTGGTGTATACCACTTCTCCTGAATGGCTGGTGAGGTAGGCTTTGGTTTAGGTGGTTTAGGGTGAAAAGGTTCTTCTGGTTCTTCCGGGAGTTTCACCACAGCATTTTTGGCTTTTTCTAATCTAGCCCCTTCTTCAGTCGATCCTTTATCACCCCAGCGAACCTAAGTAAAGCCAGAGTTCAGACATAAATGCACTGTATGCAAAGGACAAGGAAACTGTTGCAAATAACAGAAGTAGCTAAAAAGTTTAAATTTGGGAGAAGTTCTGAATAGACAAGAGGGGAGGTACTGAGGAAAATGTTCCCTTTTCACTTTTGACAACAAGCATTCTTAGTTAAATACATTTCTGAATATGAGACTCTCGGTAGCAAAAAGTCAAGAGAAATACTGACAGAAAATTCTACTGTGTATCACACAGGCTGTATAGGAGACAGGAAATCTGGAAAATCTTGTCTAATTAATGATGTAAAAAATATCATTTCTCATTCTGATTTATCCTAAAATACCAGACCTTAATCTGGCACTGATGAAAGCCTAGATTTTTGTCACCCCAGATTTCCAAACACAGCATGTTTGTTGAGAATTCCAATTTAGATAGAAGGTGATACTTGAGCAAGTTTCAGCAGAAGCTCCTTGAAACTGCTCAGGTTTTCAAGTAGCTCTGCAAGAACATACATGCTGGAGAAAGCACAGATGAAGCAGTCTAACTTGCATAATACGTAAACGTGAAATGTGTAGCAATGTGTATTTTGTCACTGCCACAAGTATATAAAATACATACAAAGGGTTCAAAGAGAAAGCAAACCTGGATTATTGCTGTTGGTGAGACAAGCACATATTTCCACTTCCATAAAAAGTTGTACTTTCTATGTGCTGTAAAGAGGAAGTACAAGAAAAAGCCTTCCCTCTAGGAGAGATGATTTGTCTTGCCACAGTAATCTTATTTCATCTTGTAATTGGAAACACTGTGCAGCAATTTGAGCAAGGATGTTTGCTGCATTGTACAAAGAAGCAAACCTAGATAAGGCTGTTACTTTATCATCCAAAAAGATCATCTAAAAGCTGTGGCTGGAGGTTGAAAGTTCTCAGTAAAACTGGCCTGAATTACCTTCAGCGCAAGACTTTCTAAATCATGCCATCTGCTACTGCCTAGCCTGTAAGAAGGACCTGATACACTTAAACCCAGGAAATTAAACTCTGACACTACATCGTGGGTAAGTGTGACACACTGATGAGTCATGAAACTGTTTCTGGAAAATAGCTAACCGTTACTGCAGGACTCCACTAACATACGTGGTTTTTTTCAGGGACCTTCTGACTGGAGATGCCAGGCATGAAAAAAACAAGTATCTGAGTAAGAAAAATCAGAGAAGACTGACCTTCCACCCTGAGGGAAAGAATTAAGAGCATCACTGCACACTGCTGCGTAGGTATATGTCAGTTCTGTCTTGCTACCTGCCAATTCCACCACTTGAAAAGTAGGCAGAAAAACAGTGGGATGCAACAACTCTCCCACTGCAAAAGGGCACAAAACCGTTTTGCTCACCAGAAAAGAGGCATGCTCCTGCTCTTCCTTCTGCTACCCCGAGGGAGGGAGAAGAATGCTCCAGGTCTTGCTGGGGACACTCTATAATGTGCTGGGATAACTCCGCCATAGGATGGGAGAAGGAAACAGCCTGCCTTCTTCATCCTCATCAGCGCCATCTGCACAGTGTGCTGATACGGGAAGTGAGGAAAGTATGTGGGCAAACCAGAAGAGTCTAGCCCTCTTCAGAAACATAAAATACCTTGGAGGAAAATCGTGTCATTTTATCACCACCACCAAGTGTTTTTTACCACTGTAATCTCAATGTAGAGAATGAGCGTAGAAGTATGACTGAGCTTAATTTGGTCCGTAATACTGTAATTCAGCCTGATAAAATACCATTTCTTAGGAGGGGGATTGTTTTGAACCTTTCTGTTATTTTGAACTTTACTGTTTGGCTTGCTTAGTGATTTCTTTTTCTCACTGGGGAATCCTCTTTCTGCAATATTAGAATGGGCTTTCATGTCCAAGTGGGCCCTGCTGAGTCATTAAAATGCATCTGTATCTTTCACTGTGATCAACGGTACTTTTACGGTGTTTTTTATGAGGTTGTTAAAATGTATTTTAAACGCCGTTAAAGCCATTTAGAGATAGATGGTGGGTTCCTTACTGATAAAATGACCTTTTCCTTCAGATTAAAATGACTTCACCCAGAAGAAACCAGAATTTGTGGAGTCTGACAACATAACTTTGACATAAAAATGGGTGGAGTCTAGAAATGACATCATAAAACTTGAAAGCAATGCCAGAAGACAGATGTAGGAAGAATGAACAACACTGGCTAAATTACGCTGGACGCTCGCAGAGCGGTGAAGCTATTGGGGAAGGCAGGAGTGCATGTGTAACTGCCCCAGAAGGGAATCATAGTAAGCAAAGAGAAGTAAGGACAGAAGGGGTAAGTGGAAGTTTACTGGTTCATTCTCTCCTTTTCTCTATGCAAGGAAGCTACCAGAAGAATGGCAGAATAAAGTCCAGAGAAGCAATAAAAAACAGACAACTGCATTACCCCATGAACCGAAAACAGGGAAGAAATGTAATGACTAGTCCAGCGAGTTTTTTGTTGGCCACAGCACAGAAACCACATTTAACTGTCAGGTAAGGAATAACCTCCCTTTGACCCACTCACCTTCATCATCTTGTTTTTTTTTTTTTTTTTTCTCTCACTTCCACACTTGCTCTGTCCGGATTCACCAAATGAGCAACATGACCTCTTGGGCCACTGAAAGGCTTGAGGTCTGATACCACCCTGCCGAACAGCTGGGAATGGGCTGTTAAGCCAGCTTTTCCCTCAGCCCCACTGCCCAAGATACTCCAGGACGGAGGTGAAGCTCCATATTCAAATACTGAGGCATTTATGACGCAGCACCCAACCCCAAAATTTGATAGTACTCTTGGATCCCAGAGGACATTGACACAGCTCCATAGAATGAAGGGCCTTCCAAGAGCCCGTGATTGTGTTGTCAGCAATTTCAGTTGGGTTCCATCTTTCGCCCTTAGTCCTGCACAAAATTCCTAGCACAGATGAAAAACTTTTCTAACCTAATTGTTACTTTCTGGTCTCTTCTTTGAAGAAGAAATACTGTATTTCTGCCTTGTGATGAACATGCATTTCTTTATGGTACTGATGTTATTTGTGTTCATGAGGTATCTATTGCGTTTCTGTTTCATTGCGCAAGATCCTGTTTACAAACTGTGATGATGTAAACCCTGGAACTCCTCCTGGAGGCTCACCATGGCTCCCATTAGAAATCCAGGCTTGTAGTTCCTTATGTTGGAAAGGATTTTTGAGTTTGCCTCTGAAAAGCACTGCACAAAATGTTTTCTTTTTCTAAAATCTGAAGCTCTTCTAAATTAGCAAATCTGAACTGCTGAAGGAAACATATATAAGCAACACAGCTTTAAACTTGCGTGTTCTTCTGCTGCATTTAAAAAGAACTCAAGCAAAGCTGATTCTTAGGCCAATACCTTTAAAGTTCCATCAAGATACATCAGTATGGCCTAGGTGGGTACTTCAGACAGAGTCAGTTTCCTGGATTGAAGTTAAAAACTGCAGAAAACTGCTTTGCAAATTCCATAAAGGCTGACTTGACTATAAAATCTGACATAAGGACATGCCCATAAGGATGCACATTTTTCATTCTGTTTTAATTAACATGATGCTATCATGTCTCTTCAAAGACAGGCACTGTTGTCGCTGTGAGTTCCTTTGGGATCAAGCCTCTCCTTAGCGTCACCATTGTCAGCGCATTTGGCTGGCCCACAGTTGGAGGACTTATGTTTCACTGTAATTTCTTCCAAAACATTCAGAAAAGGCTCTCTCTCTTCCTCATTAGCTTGATGGAAAGAGCATGTCTTCAGGCAGCTATTTAAAGTTCCAGTCAAATGGAACTACTGAAAGCTGTTCTTTCATAGGCAAGGTCAAAATTGTTCGATACGGTAAAAAATTTTACAAGGCTTATGTCAGTGGGAAGGAAGCGCATTATGCCCTTGTGTTTTCAGTACACTTTAAAAGTCTTTGCTTCTACCATTTGCGGCCCCAGAGAGCTTGTGTTTTAGTGAATTGGCATCTCTGTATCATACAAACCTCCATCCTTTTAATTCCTCCGACTCCTCGTCCACCGTAGTAGGAAGCATCCACTGTGGGCCATTTCTTGGTAGGCAAGGGCTCTTGTTCTTCTTCCTGACAATGAATTCAAATAACATTTACTTTAAAATTATACTTTTCCCTCCCCCCCTAAGTGTCTTTTTCGTATATTTCACTAGAGTTCACAGGGAGTAAGTTTTACCATGTTAGGTGTGAAAGATCAGATATTTAGGTCCCTCAAGCGCTTCCCAATTTCCAAACAAAATGCGGTCGTGTTTGGAAATATTTTTAATGTTTTACATGGGAAGAGTATTGGTGTCAACCATTATGAAAGTCCAAATGGGGAATCTATCTTTGTATTCTACTGACAATCATTCATTTGCCTCATCCTTTTCCCTTCTACCAATAAAAATAAGCAAAACACACACAAAGAAAAGAATTTGCAGTGGCTTCTACAGAAAATATAATGCCTTCAAAGAGCCACATCTTCAGCCCCACTCATTTGGATTCAGCAGACGATGTTCAGCAGATCTGCAGATAAAGGTTACGCAGCCAATCACAGTTTCCTAAGCCAACCGTTGTCAAACTCGCTCTTGGCTGCCTCAGCTCAATGAAGTGCACCTTGTCATGGACTTAACTGTCAAGAGTACACTTGAGTACGTTCAAGCAGTTGGCCAAATCAAGACCAAGGGGCAAAAATACTGAAGACACCAGAAGATCCTCTGGGGCATTATTGCCCATATGAGGGAGAGAAATTCCCTTGTAAGTGTTCTTCAGTGTCTGGAATGCCAAAGCTGTGGGGAAATGCTATTTAAGTCATACATGAATCTCTAGACTGTTATAGAAGAGCTACTCAGTCTTTCTGCTTTCATTGCAGAATGCAAAAAATAATGTTCAGCTATGAGGCCTCCTAAATATTTCTGTGGATTTGGGCTTATCTCATGCCACACTGAGATGACCGAGACAGAAAGGAGATTTGGATTTTGGCCCTCTCCCTCTCAGACTAAGGCTTCCCACAGGGCCGTTTGTTCTTCTTCAGCAGCTAGGACAAAGAGCTGGATTTGCAGAACAGAGGAACACACAGAGGAGTGGAATCGTGTAACCAGTGTGATGAGCGGAGCACCATCATAACATACCTCTTTTGGAGCTGGTGGAGGCGGAGGGGGATCTTTGATGACCTAGAAGAGCCAAATATGTAAAAGCATAAGGAATTGCACTGGCAGCATCCAAAATCCAACAGAAGATTTTAAGAGTGAACTGTTTCCATCTGAGTCCCTCACATCTGCTTGCAAACTGGCAACTGCTGCTGCCAAGTCCCTTGGGTATCGATTATCAAGGCCTTCTGGAAATTAACACCATCCGTCTAATAGAAAATAACATCAATTGAGTGGCAGACACTCTTTGGGCAGACGTGTCTGCCGCTTTGCTTCCTGACCGGATAAGACTCAGTCATTCTAAGTAATAGCCAGTGATGAAACCCTATGGAGTTAATTAGCAAGCCTGGGAGGAAAAGCATCCCAGGGTCTATGCGAGGTCTTGCATAATCTTGGGCCAGTACGCCTGATTCCTTGTGCCATGCTGCTGGATAATTTCTGGCCCAGTGACAAGCGTGAAATGCCTTCTGGTAGCTCAGGCTTTACCTCTAGACGTCCAGATCATTTCCACAGATCTCACATTTCAGATCTAATAATTGAAGTATGTCACTCCTTGACTGTTCAGTGTGGAGTGCCTGCAAGTGGGAGTTACATTCACAAGGCTTCTTAAACTGTTTCTGGATAAGGCCTGCTCTTAGGATAATTAACTTACACCTATATTTAAACATCTATCTACAGTTTCTTCCTGTTCCCTTTTCACATACGTACTGTAAATCTCAGGGAGTTCCCTGGTACTGACAGGAATCCCCTGAACAGTATTGGGAGGGAGGAGTAAGGCAGCAGCCCTCTTAAATGATTGAGATGAATACTGAAGGCACAGCCAGTCTTCCACGAGAAAAGCAGGTTTGTAAGCTAAGAAGTACTTCAGTGATATCAAGTCACTTTTTGTGCTTGAATATTTTATAGAAATTACTAAAAAATACCCTGTGAATATAAAGGAGTCTTGTTTCTGCTATGCCTTAGTATTAGACAAAGATGACCAAAAATGATGACAAACACCTAAATCTCCTCATATAGGATTGTCTTAATTGAAATATGTTTTATATTATTCACTCCATGCTATTAATTATCATACTGTAATTTACCACTGCCTATAAATAATGTCACTGCACAAATGCATAGCAGCATACATAAAAGGAAAATATTTTTCTTGACCAATAATCAAGAATTTTTCTTCTTGATTTACATTTCAGGTCACAGTGCCACCAAGATAGATACTAGTTACTGCCTAAACAAGCTATGGACTTTTACCACTGGATACAGGAATTCTGTAAAACAAGCGAAATAAGCTATGGCACCCTTGGAAACATTTTTCCACAGCGCTTCAGGTTTAAGATACCAAACTGTTCATCAAGGAAGCTCACAGTACTCGGACTGGATTGGCAAGCCAACCATGGATTTTAACCAGACATCCCTTTGCTGCTACGAAGTTGCAAAAACATCCCAGAAATGACTTTTCTTTCAATATTTCTGAATACTTTTTCTTTCCACCCATCAGGAGTTTTCAGAATACTTAGCAGAAATCAATTATTTAATTAGTGAAACATTCCTGAGAGCCAGATTGGAACTACTGCCCTAACTTTACAAGAAACAACAACACAGAGGGATCATGGGACAGATTCTGAGATATACTTGGATGCTGAGCAAGATTTTCCAAAGCATGAAGATATTTAATTCTCACTGAAAGCAATTAAAAGACTGGAAACGGTAAAGCAGTGCTTTCAATATATTAAGGGTCACCTTATCTTACTTAATTCCCATTCTTATTTCCCTTTTGCCTGTCTCTAACGATTATCTCAAAAAAATGTATTTTGCTGCCAAGACTGCAAGCTGTACAGGGGGGAAAGGCCTAGCTAGGTTGCGGATTTATATAAATACATATTAAACGGTATTATCACTCTACTTTCTATCGTTCTACAGTTCTTAAATCTTGCAATCTCTCCTGAGCAAAGACAACTTTGCATAGTAGACTTCTTTGTGATGTACGGTAAAGTTTGCTTGGCCGCTATGTCTGTTGATATTTACAGAATCAAAATTTCTACCCTGGTGAATCAAGAAAAACTCTCTACTTCTGGATCTCACAGGGCTTCAAAGGGCATGAGTCATCAGCAGTTTTCACTTGACTCCCTGAGCAAATGATCTAATCCTATGCCAGCTGCTAAACTCCCTGAAGTTACAGGGTAAACTTGATTTGAAGCTAACCGATACATTAATTAGCTGCTATTTCTAATAGCTTCAGAAAATGAAACTTATTTTACATGTGACAGTGGTGCGAGAAAATAATCTGCTGCTTTGAGTAGCAGATACTCACCCCTGCTGACAGAAGTGGAATGTAAATGCCTGCATCCTTATGTTTCCACAGGCTCCTCACACACTCCCTCTCTCACACACACACACAGAAAGATTATTTTCAGTCTTGTGTGATATTTCAAGTGAAATCAGTAGAAAGCCATTTTTTAAAAAGAGAAATCCAAGGAACCCATGCAGCTTTGGCAGAAAACAATGCAAATGCAGCATGAAACTGCACATACTGAAGATCATAATACTGCAAATCAACTTTTCCTGAACTTGACTCAGATTGTTTAAGTAGGAAAGACTCTGAATAACGCTTCTGTCTTATTAACCCTATGTAGAGATGGACTACTTCCTAATTTTGTTTTGGTTTGGTTTATTATCATCATCACCAGGCAAGGCTGCATCTCATTTATTTAGTTGCAAAGAATGAAGACTTGAGTTTGGAGGAGAGCCGATATCTTAAAAAAAAAAAAGAAAATAAGTTAGTTGCTTCAGGCAACAGTCCCTTTGATCTGCTCATTAACACTTTTCAAATGTTCGCGTGATGTGGGCATTAGGAAATGTCAGCACCAGAGCCTGAAGCCAGCTTGATGCGATCATATGTTCTGATATTGAGGGAAGAGTGAAAGAACTGTCAACAGTGAACTGCCTTTAGAAAAAAGGGGTGGGGTGGAGGAAGAAAAAGAAAAAGGAGTCCCCCTACCCCAGCCTGTAAGTGTACATGGCCCTCATCGCAAGGAGCACTGTTAAGACTGAGTCCTGGCGGGGATGAAGCGCCCGAGCCCCCCGAAGCTCACCACTCTGCCCACAGCGGTCGGGATCACGTGCTTGTGTGGCTCCAAATGCTCGTTCTGCTCTGTCCACAACACCTTTTGTCTCCCTCTCTTCTCTCTGATTCTGAAGCACGGGAAGCTTACGAGGTTGGAGGGCTGCTGCTTTCTCCCTTGCTCCCATTCCTTGTCCCATGAAACCCAACACTCCACTCTGCCAGGGAAGCAGACTCAGAGGAAGGGGAGGTCCTGCCCAGCCCTGATATGCTGTCTCTCTTATCAAGGACAGTGGCACTAAAGCCCAAAACTACACAGCCAGAAGTGGCAATAACATGTAATGTGAGAACCTCAGGTACAGGAGAGAGGGAAAAGAACGGAGGCACAGTATAATGACCTGAGGAAACGGACATCAGCGCAAAAAGAAAGGAAGGGTCAGTATTTGGTAATACATTCAGTGCATCAAAATGTGGGTTTGGAACTCAGTATGGTTGTAGCAATGAGTCCTAAAATTACTCAAATGAGTAACAGCCATGAGAGGTGGGAGGAAAGAAACAACAGAGGGCACTAACATTTAGAGTGCCATGGTTCTATTGCTCCAATAGAAGTCAGGCTGCTGCTTAGTAATAACTTATGAATCTACAGCTCAAGACTTCCCTAGAAATAGCCAATTACTTCTTTACCAAGCACTATATCCAGAAAAGACGCTCAGGGTAAGTTACTATCCCCTGTAGTAAACATCAGGGAGGAACAGACTGAAGCACAATGTAAATCAGAACCAAGGGACATTTTCTCACAGCTCAGTGCAGCTCTTTGCAGAGATATGTCTCCACACAGGAGATGAGTCCAGACAGAGCCCTGCCTTAATGCCACTGTGCATCTTTGGCACCCAAGGTGTAGTATCTTTGCTCTGCAGTTCGTTTTAAAGGACATCTATTTTAGTTAATTGGATCCTAGCTTCGGTATCCCTCCATGCAGCTCTGCATGATGCATTGATGTACACCTGTAGCGTAAACTGAACTCCTTTCACTTGTAACAGGCATAGGCTGGTGCAGATAATATGTATTATACTGGCATAGCTACCAAAAGGACTGGAAATCAATACTACAGAACTATACATTTGCCTTTTTTAATGTAGGACTTTGACATAAAAAAAAAAACAGAAAGCACCTTACTGATTGACATTACAGTCATCACTGGAAAGAGAATTCCTGCTCTCAAGGAACTGAGATACTGCAGTCACTCTGTACTGTAATGAAAGGAAAATGCAGAGTATATGAAGCTTTACTATACCATGGGAACTGACCTCTGACGACCACTGACTTCTGAACACTGATCAGTGTGAAGAGTATTTTGATTTTTTTCCCTAGGTCATACATGTGTAAACCTGATGCTGAAAAAAAAAGATCCCCTTAGCAAACCATTAAAACTGCATGTGCAGCTGAATATAATGGCATCGATTGCACTTCCAACTGTAAAAGACTGATTCTGGGCTAACATAAATTAGAGGCGCATGGATTACGTTCTGACGATCATATTCAGCTAGTGACAAAAAAACAGAGTTTTAGCGAGGTAACTTTTTCTGGGAGCTCTGACAAACTAAACGACCATTAGGTTTCCTGGTATCAGTCAACTCAAAAGGAAGTGTGTTTGTCTTGGAAAAAAAAGAAGCAAAACAACAAAAAAACCCCAACAATAAAACCACCCAAAAAATCCAAAAAACTTGAGAATTCAGGAAGGGACAAAAGGAAAGCAGCTGTTTTCAGAAAAGCAGTTCTTGAGAAAGGATATGATGATCCCTCTTCATAACTATGATCGACTAGTGAAACAACTCACTCCAAAATATGTCTGTACGTAGCTGACAGGAGACACTGAAAAAAAAATTACCTGGCTTCACTTAAGGATTTAAATTGTATTTTACATGCATATTTTTAAAATAACTAGACCTAGAAACACAAAATGTTTGCTTCTGTATCAGCACGAGTCTGCTGCAATATTCTCTCCTTCATGTCATAGATTCATAGAATACCAGGTTGGAAGGGACCTCAAGGATCATCTGGTCCATGTCCTCCATCTCCCTCTCACCCTGCCCCAGATGACAGATCTATGTGAAATGCCTAGCTGTAGCCTCTTTCTACAGACAGAAAGTGTAAAAACTAGGAAGTGTGAAGATGGACTATGAATCAAGGTTAGCCAATTATTCTTAAATAAGAAAACAGAAAGCTTTCTTCCCACTGATTTAGAATTTTCCCTTTTCACGGGAAGGCTCATGATATAAACCAAAGTTGAAGTAAAACGGCTAACAGACAAGCTCCCTAGATTTCTGATGGGACTGTACTGCAGAGAATGAGTCAGAAGAGTGTCTTTTTGTTACAGAAGAGCTTGTAGTTCTTGCCTCAGAAACCCCAGACCAGGAGGATGCAGATAGGGGCTGAGGGCTTCTTGCCCTAGGATAGCCTTGGGGCCTGATGGAGCACAAGCAAAGCTTTTTCTTACGCAGGCTTCAGCATGGTCAGGCAAGAAGGCCAGTTCCTTTGCTGCCTCAGGTGCCACAAGCCCGAGACAAGACAAGGAATACAGTAACAGCCTGGAAGCTATCTCCACTTCCCAAGTCCTCAGCACTGTCATTGAACTGGATAAGTAATAAACTTCACCAATTAAAAAACCCCAGCACAGAAGGATATGGAAGGAGAGTTAGTGAAACAGCACAGCTGAGTGCTGCTGGAAGGATAAAGAGTGCACTCAGATGAAATGAGATACAGTGCGTGCAGGGGATTATTAAGACAATAAGGGATTTCCAACTTGATAGCCCATAACGGACTACAAATACCAATTTTAGTGGTAGTACTTTTAAAATGGTCCTAGATTTCAGGATAACATCTGCATACCATTATGGCCAACAACTTTCAAATAATAGAGAAGATTTCACAGAAATGCAACACATGCTCACTCAGTACAAAGTCCACGAGCAGCACACCGGTGTGCTGATGCTGGTTCATGTGTGTGCACATCTCAGAGAGCCAGAAGCACTGCTAAGAGCACAGTCCACAGTGTTGAAGCTGGTCTCTTCTTCCATTTATTGTGTATCCCCAATGAAAGAAAACTCCCTCAGCAGATGGCCTATGTCACAGGTCGCTCTCTTGTTACTTAACCTACTTCCTATGGTCTCTGTGTTTCCCAACATGGTACGAGTTATAATCATGAGCCACACATCCAGTGACTTTTTCTAAAAGTCTTTACTCACCACTTTGCAGCAGAGGGGCCAGAACCACCAGAGCAGACCGAGTGCCACTAACAGTAACAGCACAAGAACAGCAATAAGTGCTGCTACTCCACTAGACTGCGAAGAAAGCAGAAAGACAGTGTCAGTGGATGTTGCAAATAACTGCTGCCTGGTTTCCCACTCACCCCAAAACAGCTTCCTGCTGACTGATACAAATCCCAAACAAATTGTTCCCACTCGTCAGATCCTATTCTTGCCAAGGGAGAAATTCCTCACAAAGGATCAAGAAAGGGGGTCTTAGCCAAATTCGTATTTGGCAGAAGTTCAGTGACAGCCTCTGCTGGAATTCTCCTCAGTTCCACGAGCTATGTAGAAGGTAAGCTAGGATGCTTCAACAGGAGCTGCGTATCGCAATGAATGATGAATCAACACTAAAAAGAGGGAGGAGGTGGTAAGATTGCTATTTATGTTTCTCATTCTTTACACATTCTGGGGCATGAAAGCCTCAGGCATTCTGAGGGACTGAACACAGCTTGTAGAACATAATAAACTGAAGATGACAAAACTCTGAAAACCACTTCTTTCCTGCTTATCTGTAAACCTAAGTTCAAATTAAG